AATGTTCGCCCCTCACACAGAAATGATCGGTCTAACAATGGAATGTTCGGTGTAACACTGAGAGACAGAATACAACAACCAAATTCAGCAGAAATGCGTCTAATGCAGGCCATAGACAGGTCGAAAATCGGCTGATTTTTCAGCCGAAAAAAAAATAATCGGACGATTTTTGCACCGTTAGTGGGTTAATTGGTTGGCCATTTTTTGGGGTTTTGGCACATTTTTTTTATCGGTAAAGTTGGAAAAAAATCAGCCGATTTTGCCGATTGGGCGATTTTCTCTCGGCAATGATGGGCAAATCGGCCGATCGTTTTACCGATAAAAAATCTGTGCGTGAGCCGTGACCTAAAAGAAGAAGAAAAAGAAGAATTCCAGTCCGCTATTATATTTGACATGAAAGTATTGCTGTTGCAACAATGTATCTATTTGTATCCAAATAAAAACATCCGTATCCAAAATAGATACAAATGGATACATTGTTGCAACAGCAATACTTTCATGTCAAATATAATAATGGAGCTCTCTGCATGAACAGAAGTAACGAAATGCCGGCCGTAGACGGGACGAAAATCAGGCGATTTGTTTTACCATTGGTGGTAACGTCGGCCTATTGAACAATCAATTATTCCTTTTTTTTTTTTTTTTTTTTTTTTTTTTTAAAACGGACAGTTTTTTGACCCGTCTATGGCCTGCATTACAAATTATAACTGATCTGCATGTTCATGAGGGAAAGAAGGATTTGATCCCCTATCATTCAGCAGGATTTCCGGCTCCCAGGTGTCTCTCATACAGGTAACAAGCTGAGATTAGAAGCAGTCTCTTAAAGGGAGTGCTGCTAATCTCATTGTGTTACCTGTATAAATGACACCTGTCCACAGGAGCCATCAAACCATCAGATTCCAAACTCTCCACCATGGCAAAGACCAAAGAGCTGTCCAAGGATGTCAGGGACAAGATGGTAGACCTACACAAGGCTGGACTGGGCTACCAAACTATGGCCAAGCAGCTTGGTGAGAAGGTGACAACAGTTGGTGCAATCATTCACAAATGGAAGAAACACAAAACAAGTGTCAGTCTCCCTAGTCTGGTGCACCATGCAAGATCTCACCTCGTGGAGTGTCAATGATCATGAGAACAGTGAGGAATCATCCCAGAACTACACGTGAGGATCTTGTCAATGATCTCCAGGCAGCTGGGACCACAGTCACCAAGAAAACAATTGGTAACACACACTACGCCGACAAGGACTGAAATCCTGCAGTGCCCGCACGGTCCCTCTGCTCAAGAAAGCCCATGTCCAGGCCCGTCTGAAGGTTGCCACTGAACATCTGAATGATGCAGAGGAGGACTGGTGGGAAGTGTTGTGGTCAGAGGAGACCAAAATCCAGCTCTTTGGCATCAACTCAACTCGCCGTGTTTGGAGGAGGAGGAATGCTGCCTATGACCCCAAGAACACCATCCCAACTGTGAAACATGGTGGTGGAAACATTCTGCTTTGGGGGTGTTTTTCTGCTAAGGGGACAGGACAACTGCACCGCATCAAAGGGACGATGGACGGGGCAATGTACCCTCAAATCTTGGGTGAGAACCTTCTTCCCTCAGCCAGGGCATTGAAAATGGTTGGTGGATGGGTGTTCCAGCATGACAATGACCCAAAACACACGGCCAAGGCAACAAAGGAGCGGCTCAAGAAGAAGCACATTAAGGTCCCGGAGTGGCCTAGCCAGTCTCCAGACATTCATCAGATTGGAAATCTGTGGAGGAGCTGAAAGTTCGAGTTGCCAAACGTCAGCCACCAAACCTTAATGACCTGGAGAGGATCTGCCAAGAGGAGTGGGCCAAAATCCCTCCTGAGATGTGTGCGAACCTGGGGGCCAACTCCAGGAAATGTCTGACCTCTGTGATGGCCAACAAGGGATTGGCCACCAAGTACTAAGTCATGTTTTGTGAAGGGGATCAAATCCATCTTTCCCTCATGAACATGCAGATCCGTCATCATTTGTTAGACGCATTTCTGCTGAATTTGTTGTTGTATTCTGTCTCTCAGTGTTACACCGAACATTCCATTGTTAGACCGATCATTTCTGTGTGAGGGGAGAACATTCCATTGTTAGACCGATCATTTTCTGTGTGAGGGGAGAACATTCCATTGTTAGACCGATCGTTTCTGTGTGAGGGGAGAACATTCCATTGTTAGACCGATCATTTCTGTGTGAGGGGAGAACATTCCATTGTTAGACCGATCGTTTCTGTGTGAGGGGTGAACATTTCATTGTTAGACCGATCGTTTCTGTGTGAGGGGCGAACATTCCATTGTTAGACCGATCAATTCTGTGTGAGGGGCGAACATTCCATTGTTAGACCGATCATTTCTGTGTGAGGGGCGAACATGCAGCATCAGCCGGGGAGCAAATATACATTTCCTTCACTGTACCTGAGTCTGAATGTGATCCAGCGATGTGCACGTCTGCAGCAACACCGCTCTCCTCCTGCATGAGGCCCGGCAGCAGGAAGCATTGGCTCCTGCTGCTATCAATCAATATCTGTGCGCAGGGGGCGTGGCTGAGCCGCGCTGTGTGTCAATAGACGTACAAAGTGCGGTTCACGAACAAGCCTGCACGAGTACATCCATAGTAAGCGGCTTGCCAAAGGGGGCACTCAGAAAGCTGGAGGAGCCAGGAGTGATGGCAGGAGACCCCAAAAAAGGAGGATTGGGGCTGCTCTGTGCAAAATTATCACAGAATAGGTAAATATGACATTAAGAAAAAGTTAGACCCTTAGCTACATAGTTAGTCTGGCTGAAAAAAAACACAAAAGTCCATCCAGTTTAACCATTAAAAAAAAAAAAAAAAAAAAGTAATAATCCTCCACCCACAGTGATGATCCAGAGGAAGGCAAAAAACCCAGCAAAGCACGATCCAATCTCCTCCTGCAGGGAAGACATTCCTTCCTGATCCCCCGAGAGCCAATCGGATATTCCCTGGATCACCTTTCCCTATAAATGTTATATCCAGTTATATTCTGTGTATCCAAGAAAGAATCCAGGACTTTCCTACAGCAATCCACTGAGCCGGCCACAACCACCTCTGGAGGGAGTCTATTCCACATTCTCAGCTCTTACTGTGAAGAAACCTTTCTGTGTTTGGAGATGACATTTCTTTTCCTCCAGACGTAAAGAGCGCCCCCTTGTCCTCGGTGATGACCTCAGGGGGAAGAGCTACATACATTTTAAAGTGGTACTAAGCCCGGGTTCACATACATGCGGTGCGGTATATCCCATGTGAATCGCACAGTAACTGCGCGCCGCATTCCTGGGCCAATCACATGCGATCTGTGTGCGGTGCGATCCGAGTCGTACATTTTGTATGGTTCTAATCGCACCGCAACAAAAACACGCAGGACTCTTTCTTTGGGTCCGCGCTAGAATCGTATCGCACGGGTATTCACACCTATACCATCCGATTCTGCGCATCGCACCGCGTTTTGAGAACCACTTTCGGGGTGTTAACATAACATACACCCCCGCAGCGGTTCGCATGAACGCGGTGCGATTCTACTGCGGTGTGGAATTCGCACTGAAAACGCTGAGAATTCCGCGTCGCCTCGCGTGAACCCGGGCTGAAGGCAGGTTTTTGTACCTCAATGAATTCTACGCATTACAGTAAAAAACCGTCTGAGTGCAGCTCCCCCCTCATACTTACCTGAGCCCCACCTCGGACCAGCAATATGCATGAGAGCAGCGGCTCTCCCAGGTCACTCTCTCCTCACACTCGCTCACACCGCAGCAGGAGAGAGCGAGGGGGGCGGGGCCGAGACAAGCTCTGTGTGAGTGGACAATGTCCTTTCACAGGAGCGAGCCTGCTCGAGTGCCTCCATAACAAGAAGCTTGCTATTGGCGGCACTCAGCGGGGGGAGGAGCCAGGACCGCCAATGGGGGACCCAAAAAGAAGAGGATTGGAGGCTGCTCTGTACTAAACCATTACACAGAGCAGGTAAGTATGACGTGTTTGTGGTTTTAAAGAAGAACAATTACAACTTTTTTTTTTTTTTAACGGTTGAACTGGATGGACTTTGGTCTCTTTTTCAGCCAGACTAACTATGGAACCTTTAGAATCACTTTAACCACTTAACGCCGGCGCCTCCTGAGTTAAGAGTTTCAGAAGCCGGGAGGCGGGCGGGGTTTTAGGGTCATGTGACCGCCGTGATTCGCTGTCAGGGCAGTCACATGAATGGAAAAGGTCCCGATCGAAAGGGGAGATGGGGACCTTTCCGTGAGTCACGGACATATATGCTGTGACAACGCAAGGCGCGCGCGCTCTCAGCACATATGTATTCTAATTGCATGCAAATGTACGCCCGCTCGGCGTCAAGACCCAGACGCCGAATATTTGCGTGTGCTCGGTGACAAGGGGTTATGGACTTGTTCACATGGGCATACGTGTATGAGGGCCATGCTTGACCCACACGGGGATGCGTGCAGCACCTGTGGTGTATTGGCTGTGCGCAGAGCAGCCCCGATCCCCCCCCCCCCCCCTTTGGGGTCCCCCACCAGCACATCTGGCTCCCTCCTGCCTTCTGAGTGTCCCTAGAGAAAGCCGCTTGCTATGGGGGGCACTCCTGCAGGCAGTCCTATTAACTTTAATAGGGACACAGCCGCTGCACCCAATTTGACATCCGTGACATCCACATGGCTGGAGCAGCGGCCGTGACGTCTATCTGCTGCATGTCAGCTGACATGAAAGGAACTGCCTGCCTGGGGATGTAGCAGCATCTGTGCATCTCTGCACGGGCATACGCTACACGAGCATCACCCATTTTAATGAGGCTGGACCGTTGGAGCCAACGTTTGTACCTTTACGATCTTTTCTTCTCTTTTTAACTTTTGTTAGAAGTGTTAGGAAACAATAAGGTGCTGCGATAGTTTGTAATATAATAGATTGTGTACTCCGGCCTCCTAACGTGTTATCGATAGTGTACTGTAATAATAGGATATACATTATATTGCCCCCGCCCTCCATATCATGTGATTCGGGTGTTCCAATCCCCTCCATATCATGTGATTCAGGCGTTCCAATCCCCTCCATATCATGTGATTCAGGTGTTCCAATCCCCTCCATATCATGTGATTCAGGTGTTCCAATCCCCTCCCAATCATGTGATTCAGGTGCTCCAATCCCCTCCCAATCATGTGATTCAGGTGTTCCAATCCCTTCCATATCATGTGATTCAGGTATTCCAATCCCCTCCCAATCATGTGATTCAGGTGTTCCAATCCCCTCCATATCATGTGATTCAGGTGTTCCAATCCCCTCCATATCATGTGATTCAATTGTTCCAATCCCCTCCATATCATGTGATTCAGGTGTTCCAATCCCCTCCATATCATGTGATTCAGGTGTTCCAATCCTTTCCATATCATGTGATTCAGGTGTTCCAATCCCTTCCATATCATGTGATTCAGGTGTTCCAATCCCTTCCATATCATGTGATTCAGGTGTTCCAATCCCCTCCATATCATGTGATTTAGGTGTTCCAATCCCCTCCATGGACACAGGTGTATACAATCAAGCCCCTAGGCATGCAGACGGCTTCTACAAACATTGGTGAAAGAATGGGTCGCTCTCAGGAGCTCAGTGACTCCAAGCGTGGTCCCGTGATAGGTGGCCACCTGGGCAATAAGTCCATCCGTGACATTTCCTGGCTACTAAATATTCCACGCTCAACTGTTAGTGGGATTATAACAAAGTGGAAGCCACTGGGAACAACAGCCACTCAGCCACCAAGTGGTAGGCCACGTCACATGACAGGGCGGGGTCAGCGCATGCTGAAGCGCACAGTGCGCAGAAGTCGCCAACTGTCTGCAGAGTCAACAACTAAAGACCTCCAAACTTGGTGTGGCCTTCAGATGAGCCCAACAACAGTGCGTAGAGAGCTTCATGGAATGGGTTTCCATGGCCGAGCAGCTGCATCCAAGCCTTCCATCACCAAGTGCAATGCAAAGCGTCGCATGCCGTGGTGTAAAGCACGCTGCCACTGGACTCTAGAGCATGGAGACGTGTTCTCTGGAGGGACCAATCACGCTTCTCTGTGTCTGGCAAGAGTCTGGGTTTGGTGGTGGCCAGGAGAACGGTAGTTGCCGGACAGCATTTTGCTAAGTGTAAAGTTTGGTGGAGGAGGGATTATGGTGTGGGGGTGTTCCTCAGGGGTTGGGCTTGGCCCCCTAGTTCCAGTGAAGGGAACTCTTAAGGCGACATTTTGGACAATTTCCTGCTCCCAACTTTGTGGGAGGAGTTTGGGGATGGCCCCTCCCTTTTCCAACATGACTGCACACCAGTGCACAAAGCAAGGTCCATAAAGACATGGAGGAGCCAGTTTGGGGTGGAGGAACTTGACTGTCCTGCACAGAGTCCTGACCTCAACCCATAGAACACCTTTGGGATGAATTAGAGCGGAGACTGCGAGCCAGGCCCCCTCCCCCGACATCAGTGCCTGACCTGACAAATGTGCTTCTGGAAGAATGGTCCAACCTTCCCATAGACACCCTCCTAAACCTTGTGGGGGGCCTTCCCAGAAGAGTTGAAGCTGTTATAGCTGCAAAGGGCGGGGGGCCAACTCAATATTGAACCCTATGGACTAAGACTGGGGGGCCATTAAAGGTCATGTGTGTGGAAAGGGCGGGGCCAACTCAATATTGAACCCTACGGACTAAGACTGGGGGGCCATTAAAGGTCATGTGTGTGGAAAGGGCGGGGCCAACTCAATATTGAACCCTACGGACTAAGACTGGAGGGGGCCATTAAAGGTCATGTATCGTATCACCCACCTACTGAACGACATATCAGACTGGATGTCGCTTCAGTTCCTCAAATTGAACCTTTCCAAAACCGAGCTCCTGATTTTCCCCCCCAGCCCGTGCCCCCCTCCCCCCCCATCCTCTCCATCACGACCAACAACGCCACCATCAGTCCCACCCCACAAGCCAAAGTCCTGGGTGTCACTCTAGACTCAGATATGTCCTTCCAACCCCATGTCCAATCGTTGGCAAACTCATGCAGGCTCCACCTCCGCAACATCTCCAAAATACGTTCGTTCCTAACCCCAGAAACCACTAAACAGCTCGTTCCCTCCCTCATCATCTCACGCCAGGACTACTGCAACTCCCTCCTCACCGGCCGACCTCATCACAGACTATCCCCGCTTCAGTCTATCCTGAACTCAGCGGCCAGACTCATCCACCTCACCAACCGCTCCGCTTCTGCCTCCCCCCCTCTGTCATTCCCTCCACTGGCCTCCATTCAGTGTCCTCCACCCCCCCTCTGTCATTCCCTCCACTGGCTCCACCCCCCCCTCCCCGTCATTCCCTCCACTGGCCTCCACTCAGTGTCCTCCACCCCCCTCTGTCATTCCCTCCACTGGCTCCACCCCCTCTGTCATTCCCTCCACTGGCTCCACCCCCCTGTCATTCCCTGCACTGGCTGCACCCCCCCCCCTCTGCCAATCCCTTCACTGGCCTCCATTCAGTGTCCTCCACCCCCCTCTGTCATTCCCTCCACTGGCTCCACCCCCTCTGTCATTCCCTCCACTGGCTCCCGATTGCCCAACGCATTAAATTCAAAATACTAACAGACATACAAAGCCATTCATAACTCCGCCCCAATCTACCTCACTGACCTGATACCCAAATACCACCCAACCCGTAATCTTCGCTCCTCACAAGACCTCCTACTTTCTAGCTCCCTGGTCTCCTCCTCCCACGCCCGACTGCAGGACTTCTCCAGGACTTCCCCCATCCTCTGGAACTCACTACCCCAATTCATCAGACTGTCACCTTCCCTCCTCACCTTTAGGCGCACCCTGAAAACCCGCCTCTTCAGGGAAGCCTACCCCACCCTCACCTAACAGCCGATCTCCTCCACTCCTCCTACCACCCCATCCCCCACAGCCACTTCCTACTGTACCACTTCCCCTCCCTCCTAGATTGTAAGCTCCCAGGATCAGGGCCCTCGATCCCCTCGTGTATTGTATTGTTACTGTATTGTCTCATGTTCTGTCCCCCCTATAATGTACAGCGCAGAGCACACCTTCTGGCACTATATAAATCCTGTATAATAATAATGATGTGTGTGGAAAGGCCGGCAGACTAATATTGAACCCTACGGACTAAGACTGGGGGGGACCATTAAAGGTCATGTGGAAAGGCTGGGGCCCAATACTGCGGGCAATATGGTGTATTTGCTTTTAAACAGAACCCTATCCTCCCTCCCTCCCTGCAGTCTTCTGGGACATGTGACAGACTATGGGGCCATTCATGAAGCGCAGCACTACTCGCACATGCTCAGTGGGCACCCGGCTGTGTGAAGCCGCAAGCTGTCACAGCCGGGTGCCCACCCTGAACATGCCGACACCTGGAACACCAGACGGCTGGTGAAAAGGGCTGCGGGGAGGACACCGCGGGATCGTGGGACAGGTAAGTGGCTGTTTTTTTTTTTTCCGTTTCTATAGCAGCTGAGTTATTATTTTACAGTGTGAGGGGAACTCCATCTTTACCTGTAGGAGGAGCGGAGGATTGGGTCAGTAAACCTCCTTTTGATGTTCCCCTAGACCGGGGGTAGGCAACCTGCGGCTCTCCAGCTGTTGCAGGACTACAAGTTCCATCATGCCTCTGCAAGTCATAGCTGTAACTGTCAGTTTTGTAATGTTGCAATGCCTCATGGGAAATGTAGTTCCACAACAGCTAGAGAGCCGTAGGTTGCCTACCCCTGGCCTAGACACAAACAAGGGGGCACAGCCCCAGTGGAAGGGATCATTTATGTGCCCGGAGTTGGCCTTTAACAGTCCAGAACTGCCCATTGCCCCCCCTCTCACCTCCTTTATTTTATCCCGTTTCTCTCGGATTTCGGGGTCCCCAGGGTCACCGTTCTTCAGCTCAGGCAGGTTGGGGACGGGTGCCAGCGGTAAGGGTGGATTGTCCTTCTTCTTCATCTCTTCTATCAGCTTACTCTTCTCAGTCTGGATCTCGGCCCGGATCTCCTCCCGAGACTTCTTCAGCTTCTCCTTGGCCTCCTGGAGGGCGCGCTCGTGGTCCGCTCGGATCTTATTCCGCAGCTGCTCCTCCTCCTCCCTGCAGGAAACAAAAAACACACAATCACTAGGACTCGCCCAATCACCTCGCTGCGCGTATCATCACCTCGAGGACAGAAAGGGAGGTTCAAGCATCATGAAACCCAAAAAGAATTTCTGTTTTATTGGCCTCCTATGAAAATACCTGGTGATCCTGCCAGTTGGTGTCACCTCCTCGCTCCTGGTGTCAACGCTCCACAGCCTGACCTGACCTGGGCTCAGCGGCGTTGCCACCAGTGTGCTGCTGCTGCCCCGTTCATTGCCTCTCCCTGCCCCCCCACATTTCAGGCAGGAACACCAGAGCAGGCGGATCTAACTAGGTAGCCGATGGCCAACGGTGGCCTGAGGGTGTACTGGGACCTCCCAATCCAGACACACTCTGCCCTCCAGGGTACAAACCTGTCACACTTCACACCCGATGGCCTCAGACAATTCAGATGTTTTCATTTTTGGTGGGGTCACCATGGGCAATGCAACTCTGAAGCAGGGGGGTCTCCAAACTTTCTAAATAAAGGGCCAGTTTACAGTCCTTCAAACTTTAGGAGGACCGGACTGTGGCCAGAGGGAGTAAAAAATGTCTTGGCGAGGAATAGTGCCCCATCATTGGTGTCAGTGGGAGGAATAGTGCCCCATCATTGGTGTCAGTGGGAGGAATAGTGTCCCATCATTGGTGTCAGTGGGAGGAATAGTGCCCCATCATTGGTGTCAGTGGGAGGAATAGTGTCCCATCATTGGTATCAGTGGGAGGAGGAATAGTGCCCCATCATTGGTGGCAGTGAGAGGAATAGTGCCCCATCATTGGTGTCAGTGGGAGGAATAGTGCCCCATCATTGGTGTCAGTGGGAGGAATAGTGCCCCATCATTGGTGTCAGTGGGAGGAATAGTGCCCCATCATTGGTGTCAGTGGGAGGAATAGTGCCCCATCATTGGTATCAGTGGGAGGAGGAATAGTGCCCCATCATTGGTGTCAGTGAGAGGAATAGTGCCCCATCATTGGTGTCAGTGGGAGGAATAGTGCCCCATCATTGGTGTCAGTGGGAGGAATAGTGCCCCATCATTGGTGTCAGTGGGAGGAATAGTGCCCCATCATTGGTGTCAGTGGGAGGAATAGTGCCCCATCATTGGTGTCAGTGGGAGGAATAGTGCCCCATCATTGGTGTCAGTGGGAGGAATAGTGCCCCATCATTGGTGTCAGTGGGAGGAATAGTGCCCCATCATTGGTGTCAGTGGGAGGAATAATGCCCCATCATTGGTGTCAGTGGTAGTGCCCCATCAGTGGGTAGGAATAGTGCCCCCCTCACTGTGAGGGAATAGTGCCCCATCATTGGTGTCAGTGGGGGGAATAGTGCCCCATCATTGGTGTCAGTGGGGGAATAGTGCCCCATCATTGGTGTCAGTGGGAGGAATAGTGCCCCATCATTGGTGTCAGTGGGAGGAATAGTGCCCCATCACTTGGTGTCAGTGGGAGGAATAGTGCCCCATCATTGGTGTCAGTGGGAGGAATAGTGCCCCATCATTGGTGTCAGTGGGAGGAATAGTGCCCCATCATTGGCTTGTCAGTGGGAGGAATAGTGTGCCCCATCATTGGTGTCAGTGGGAGGAATAGTGCCCCATCATTGGTGTCAGTGGGAGGAATAGTGCCCCATCATTGGTGTCAGTGGGAGGAATAGTGCCCCATCAATTGGTGTCAGTGGGAGGAATAGTGCCCCATCCCATCCCCATCATTGGTGTCAGTGGGAGGAATAGTGCCCCATCATTGGTGTCAGTGGGAGGAATAGTGCCCCATCATTGGTGTCAGTGGGAGGAATAGTGCCCCATCATTGGTGTCAGTGGGGGAATAGTGCCCCATCATTGGTGTCAGTGGGAGGAATAGTGCCCCCATCATTGGTGTCAGTGGGAGGAATAGTGCCCCATCATTGGTGTCAGTGGGAGGAATAGTGCCCCATCATTGGTGTCAGTGGGAGGAATAGTGCCCCATCATTGGTGTCAGTGGGAGGGAATAGTGTCCCATCATTGGTGTCAGTGGGAGGAATAGTGCCCCATCAT